CAACCAAAACTAAGGAGAAACTTCCCGACAGTTAGAACAATTGACCAGTGGAACAACCTGTCTCCAGAAGCTGTGAATGCTCCAACACTGGAAGTTTTTAAGAAGAGACTGGACAGCCATTTGTATAGGGTTTCCTGCCTGAGCAGGGAGTTGGATTAGATGACCTCCAAGATCCCTTCCAACTTTATTATTATTATTAAATCCACCCACCAAATCATCTTTTCACAGCCTTGGGGCTATGCAAAATGAGGCTCTTTGGAAACTCAGCCTCTACAAAAACTTTTGTTTTTACATGTCAGGCACTGTTAAGGCTCTCTGGCAGCTTCATTCTTCAATGCATCTGGCCAATATTTAAGAATATAGCCCCAAACCTCTTACGCAAACACAATGCATCATGTCAGTTGTAGGACAAATAATATGAGCAAGCATTTTATTTCCTCCCTGGATACAATTCCTGCAGCTGCAGAAAAAGCAGCAAAAATAGAAAAAAGAGAATGTGCATTTCATTAATGGAGAACAAAGGAACAGTGAGTGACTCAGACTTAAGGGGAAAAATAGGCTAAAAATAAATTTAAAAAGACACATCACAACAATGTATTTTCTGCCATGGAGCAAGTTTCAAATTGACTCCGGAGTTCAGAGATCTTAAACCAGGGGTGGGGAACCTTGGCTCTTTTATGACTTGTGAATTTCAACTCCCAGAATTCCTGAGCCAGCATGGCTCAGCTTGGAAATCTCTCTCTTTCCCCTCAGCATGGCTGGCTCAGGAATTCTGGCAGCTGAAGTCCACAAGTCATAAAAGTCAAGGTTCCCCACCCCTGTCTTAAATGGTTGCTTTGTGGGAATTGCATCCCATGGGGGAAGCCGAGCGAGGGATTTACTAAGGCTTTGGAAATGGGCGTTTGAAAGTCTAACCAAACAGGCCAAAGCTGAGCTGCTCTTTGCTAAACATTTCCCCCCCCCCCACAAAAAAGCAATGTTGCAAAAAGAGAAACCAGCAAAGAAGCCAAACTTTTTCCTTCGACTTTCTCCGGTGGAAAGAGGAACGTGGCATCCACCAGGCCTTTTTTGTCCAAATTGGGCACCCAAACCAAAGGGAAAAAACTGCTGCAGAGTTTTGAAAAAATTGTAGGGCTGCTGCACCCCATCCCAAAATGAAGTGCCCCTTGCAGCCCAGCCTCATCCCGCACAGCTGCTGCAACGCCCGGCCACTTACTTGTCCAAAATGAAGTACAGGTCAAAGCTTCCATAGCAGGCGGCGCCCCCTCCTCTCGCTGCCCCCCTCGCCTGTCACGGGACCATCAGGAAGAGCCACTGCAAGCCCCAAGGAAGAGATCTCTGTGCTGCACGAGCCATTCCCAGGCAGCCCAGAGTGGCAGTCCCGGGGCTTTGCTCCTCCCAAGCTTCTTCAGCGGATGGCCAGGCGGTGGCGGTGGCTTCTCAGGATCAAATCCTCACATTCAGAAAGGAGGGGGAAAGGCTGTCCGGAGGTGGGGTTTTGGTTTTTTTGGGGGGGTGTGATTTCAGATTTCCCTTCTGCTATGCTTTCCCTCCGATCCGTTTTCAGGGGCACCTCTACCTTGCGCTTCCAGCGCAGCGCAGCCACTGTCGCCCAAGCGATTGGCAATTTCTGATTCCCATTGCTTTGCTTTGCCCCAGATTTGAGGAACGTGGAAGCCTCATCCCCCCTCCTGTCCCCTTCCCTGCAAAGGAAAGAGCTGGAATCTGGTGCTGATTCTGGCGCTTCTGCTGAGCCCCGAAGAAGCGCCAATCAGAAGAAGTGCCGATCAGCTGGAGCCCAGTGCTGATCCTGGCATTTCTGCTGAGCTCTGACAGCCCTGCAGCTCCAGCCATCTCTCGCTCAGGCTTGTGCAGTGCTGCCATCGGTTCAGCTCATTCCCCTATCTCACTACTACTTCTAGGATGGTCGCGTACCACCTGCCAGGTACCAATGTACCACAGGTGGTACGCATACCACCGGTTGAAAAGCCCTGCATTAGATTGCAGTTTCCTCTGGCCCATATTTAATCACCTTGTGACAAAAATATCAAACTATTGAACATTTTATTACAATCAAATGCATCTACATTTGGTCTATCAAAATATTAATTTCGGTTTTTAAATGATATGGTTAATCTAATGCTGCTACTTTTTGATCTGTGTTGACTCTAGTACAGAGGTTCCCAACCTTTTGGGCACCAGGGACTGGTTCTGTGGAGAGAGATTTTTCTGTAGACTGGAGGATATGTGGTTTTGTGTGCTACCTGATCCCGCGGATGGGGCTTTGCTTGTTTGTGCAGATTGGTTGCTGGCATGCCGCGGCCCGATACTGGTCTATGGACCGGGGGTTGGGAACCCCTGCTCTAGTAATACTAGCATTCTTTTCTAGTTGCTTGCAGATTGGCTACTTGACAATCTTTCCTAATACCTTTCGTATTACTTATGTTAGGAGATGCCATAAAGGCTACAAATTGCCTATTTTCTTGTCTTATAGGTTGCCCTTAAATCACTCACTCTAGTGACATATTGGTGATGTTTCCCTGCAGTTCCCAGAATGCCAAAAAATTCTTGAGTTGTTTATCCTGTTCTGTATATCTTCCTCGTGTACATAATATACCTGTTATCTTAGCATAAGACTACTGATCAGATTTCTTCCCTCTGGCAATATTTTCTTTTATTATTATATTTTTATTTAATTTATATAGCAGCCTATCACACACGAGTCACTCTGGCTTACCTAATTAAAACAACTCCAAATAATTACAGGGCCAAGGAAACCATAGTGTCCATTTACCCGACCCAACTGCCTGGGAGAACAGCTAGTTTTTAATGTCTTGTGAAAGGCCAGCAGGGGGATGCTGTTCCATAGGGCATATGCCACTGAGAAGACACGATTTTGTGCTCAATTATATTGCTTAATGGAGCATGCCTTCTCAACTAGCTCTAGTGTTGCACAAGCTTTGTTCCTGTATTTTTTCTTTTCAATTTTGCTAATGCTAGACATTCCACAAAGCAAATGATTAGTCTCTTAGTTACTTGCCAAGAGCCCATCCCTTCATTGTAAAGCTATTTCAGCTGCTTAACAAGAAGAAAATGTAAAAAAAAAAAAAGGGGGGGGAAGGATGCCTTGGTATGCTATGATTTTTGTGTTTCAGGTTTTTAAGCCTACAGAAATAGATAGAAGAAATACTTTTAAAAAATGTATCTCTACCCTGTTTTTCCCCCACTATATTGTCTCAGACTTTTTATTACCACAGACCAAACTGCTTGGTCTGCAATTTGTACTGAGTCTGAAGTCTAACACAGGAATGAGTAATTTATTGATATATTGCAGAAATCAAATAAACGATTCAGTAAAAATGTTGACCTTATCATAAATGAGTTGCAAATGTCAGAAGGTTCTTCTAAATTAATATTCTGGGCAAAGGCAACTTGGAATATAATCTGCCTCATTAGGATGGAAATTGAATGTGTTCCACACTGAAATGCCACTAATGCTAGCTGTTGTGAGGAATAAAAATTCAACTCCAAGGGTGCTAGAAAACAAAACAAGTTTTATTAAAGCTTTTGCAAAAGCAGTGGAACTCTTGGTAATGGCAAATCCCAGAGTCCATACTTGAATCAATTTTTGCATAGGTTTTTACCACGCCACATCCTTCCAAAGTGAGCCCAGTTGATAGGCCCACCTAGTCACATGCTTTCCGACCGCCTAGCAATCATTACAATTACCAGACCCTCCAATTATTAGATCAAATGCCCCTTTTGTTCCTGTCTTATCTTCACTTCCTTTTCTGTGACATGATTTGTAACATCCTGCTAACTTAGGGTACAGACTTATCTACAAGGTGAACTGTTACACAAACTGGATAATTGCAATGATAAAAGATTTATGTCTCCCCTTGTTTATCTATAAGAATGCTTGCTTTGCATCTAGAAGCTATGTGTGTAACAGAGTTCATGCTTCGGTTAAACATGGCTGCACTTTGGTTCATAGTTATACTTTAAAATACTAACTCTAGACAGTTTTTTATAAAGAATAAACATTATATAAATGGATTATATGTTATTTATAAGCTATGTGCTATTCTACAATAGTGTGCACTATTCTAAAACTATACTTTAAGTCAGTGTATATAGTTTCTCTATTCCTCCAGCTTACTACATCTCCTTTCCTAAAAATACCTTAGCTAAGTGCCTCTAGCCTATTCCTTTAGCAGAAATGGAAAATTACAACATGTTCATTTCTTGTGTACCTCACACTGTTCAAAAATAATTTGAGACATTTGTAATTGTATTAGCTCCATTCAATAGCTGTGCTGATATTTTTGGATTTGGAATATATAAGCATTTTGGAGAGGAGTTTGGAGGGGAAGTATCCTGCTTTCCTGTTCCTGCAAGAGTAAGAGTAATCCTGTTCTCAGTTAAGGCTTGGAAAAATAGTATATACCAAAATATAAATATAAAACGAAGTACTCGGATCGAGTATTGGACATTTTTTTCTCAAAAATACCTTTTGACAGTTTTCCTCTTACCTTGCTACCCTATCTCCTGGTGATTACAGTATTTATTAAATTATAATATATAAAATTATGAATTAAATAATGATTTTGCAGAGCGAAAGAAGTCATAGAGAATTATGAGCCTGTTGACAATGACAGGGCAAAATTTGTGACTGACTCAATTTAACCCGAATTCCCCTCCCATTCTCTCCCTTATCCGAGGGGGAAACGTCGCCCTAGGTGAATGCATTCTTAAAGTCTTTTACTATGGGCAGCGCATACTTGTTTCCTCAGCAAATATACTCCTGGACGACGAGAGGCCCCTGGGCTCCTCCTCCGAGGATTTCGCATAACCAGCCAATAGCGTGGGAGGCGGATTCAATGTGCAATCCCAAATGTGAATCCATTTCTGAACTCCAGACGCCTCTTGCCCTTTTTGCCTCATTATAGGGAGGGACTTTCCTATAAGAGGAGGGGGCGGAGCTGTAGAAAGGAGGCAAAAGGCTCCACGTCAAAGAGTGATTCTCGGCGCGCAGGTGCAGACGCTAAAACGTGAGTATGAGCGAGGACTAAAAGAGGCGAGGGTGGTTTACGGATCCGTGAACAGAAATAGTTCCACTCAGTTTGCATTGGGATCTGAGCTCCTGCTTTCCCGTTCATCGCGGACAGGGCGCTGTCATAGTCGAAGTGAAGGAATAATCGGGAGTGGGTTTTTTTTTGCAATATATTATTCTACTGATTATGGTTGTACCCGCGCATACTCTGGTACAGAGAAACCTAGCGCGTCCCTTAATGGATCATTCGGTCCAAATAAGATTTTTTTTTTCATTTAAAACGCTCCGCGCGTAGGAAGACGTTCCTACTCTGATTAGGAAAGGAACCTTCCCGCTCCTTTGCTGTGAAAAGCAGATACGGAAGGGACGCGCTTTGTTTTTCGGATTGTTCTTTTTGGAGCGAGTATTTTTTGACGGTAGATCCAGGCGGGTGCTCTTATCTGTCTGCAATACAACACTTTGTTCCAATTGTCAACATTATTCTTGTGTTCTCCATATCCTAGCTGTATGTACAAGTGTTAGAAGTAAGTCTTCATCCTGGTTCATCCAAGCCGGGAATAAATAAGCAAACATGGCGACTGCTTTGGGAAGAAGGTTACAGTTTATTGCAGAAGACAGATAAGCAGCAGAGGAGAAGAAAAAGAGAGAGAGAGCACATGGGTAGAAGGTCTTTTTATACCCCCTCCAAGCCCTGCTTGCAGTAGTTTCCTGTTCCTGTGGCATGAACTTTGAGGCTATTTCTGAGTGTTTTTCTAGGCCTTGATATCTGTGGTTTAATCCCATTATCATATCCTGCTTCCCAGGTGATGGGGCTAATGACTCTTAAGAGCTTCTTTTGTCTTAAGATCCCTGGCTCCAAACTTCCTGATGGTTCCACATCTGCATATGTATAAGACTAGCTACTGCACTGGGCAAAGAGATGAGGCCAGGTTTGGTTTCTGCTTTTCAAAAAATGCTTTTAAAAATCCTTTTGGTGAACAATATTTTTCCTGCCTTTTAATATTTCCTTCTCTGGGCTAACTTCCCACACAAGTTACTGACCAGATCATGGTTCTTAAGTGTTAATCCATTAGCTACACGCGCGCACACACAAAGTATCACAAAATGCATTTTTGTGCATCGAGTGGGTATGTAAATTGGATGCATAAATCAACTATAAGTAACCCAGTTGGTACTAAATAATGGAATTATGCTCCAGAATGGATTATACAACCTATAATACTTTATACAGCTTCTCTGGTACAGAAATGAGTGCCCACAAGTATTGAATTTGATAATAAAAATATTTTGCCTTATTTTGTAAACTATTTTGGAAGGTTTTCTGAAAGATAATATTGATTTATAGAATTGGAAGGGAGCTTGGAAGCCATCTAGGTCAGTGGTGGCGAACCTATGGCATGGGTGCCAGAGGCGGCACTCAGAGCCCTCTCTGTGGGCATGCGTGGCGTCGCCCCAGTCCTAGGCCTTCAGCTGGGTTTTATAAAACCTTTTCATTTTAGGCCTCCGCCACCATGTGCAAAAAATAAAGGTTCAATCAATCAGTCAATTTCAACTTCTCGTGGGGAAAAAAAGATCTTGCAAAGTTGGAATTGATTGAACTTTTTAGTCCCACCCAGTCTGCCGTTATCACTGCAGCCATGCCCACCCAATTGGCCACACCCAGGCAATGGGCCACACCCACCCGGCACCCGACGATGCATAAGTGGGTTTTGGGTTGCACTTTGGGCACTCGGACTCTAAAAGGTTCGCCATCAGTGATCTAGGTCATTCCCAAGTGCCCAATTTAATAGTTGAATTAAATATAACACAAATGGCTGATCTTGAAAAAATTATGCAAGGCTATACTTGTATGGGAGACAACCCCAGGCTACACTGGGAATCTGTGGGGGCCAGTTTGGCATAATAGTTGAGGTGCTGAACTAGAAACTGGGAGCTAACAAGTTGGGCATGAAACTTAGCTTTGGGCCAGTCCCTCTCTCAGCCAACTTGTCTCATAGGGTTGTTGTGTGGAAAAGGAGGTGGGAACATTATGTACACCAACTTGAGTTGTAGAAAATAAAGATGCGACATAAAACTAATAATATTAAAAGGCAGTGGTAAACTGTTCTATTTTTGCAAGAAAACTAATGGCCATATCCATATGGGTTTGATTCTAAAGAATCTGTACTTTATATAAGATACCTTGTCACAGAGCATGCATATATTCATCCTCTGCAGCTTTGCATCAGACCGCGGATGCTTCTTAGTTCCAGTTTATTGTTTCTTCTCCGTGGCTTTCCTCGTTTACTCCATTCTACTGCAATGAGCACCATTACTGGTACATTTCAACTGCAGCAACCTCTCAACTACCGAGAAGGTGCCCGTCACCAGCCTGTGGATGGGGATCATAGTGAGGAGATCTATGAACCAGCAACTGGTAATCATTTGTTGTAATGGTGATATTGAATTTTTAGGGACTTAATGTTCTACAGCTATATAATGTTGACCTCTTATCACACCCATAGGAATAGCTAACTTAGAAGTTATATAACTGACATTTACATCCTATTAGATAATTAGATAACTAATAGAAGAGAAAAAATATATTCTTTTTCAAATATTTTTATTGGTGTTTTTATGGCACAATTTATTAATCTGCTGATACCGGTAGAAGAAAATTTTGAGGATTCTTATGCAGGATGTATAAGTAAAGTAATTTATACAAAACTGATGTTTATCTAGGAATATACTTTTAGATCATTATGATTGTTTTTAGAAAAAATTCTGTATCAAAAAGATTTTTTTTACCCTAAAAGCAGAAAAAATAACTGGGCCTTCTGCTGTACATGCCTTAGCATATATCGGTGCTGATGCCAGTACAAATAATACAGGAATATTTATATAGGCATATATTTTGAAATTAGCTTTGGATTACAAAGTGGTTGCGATTTTTCATTTTAGAAAGTACTATTGCACAATGAAATCAGTGCTCTTTGCATTTTTTTTCATCACTCAGCATGGTGTCAATGAAACTGAAAAGGCTTTGCTTCAGTCTCATGTTAACATAGAGTGTAATAATGACCCCAAATATGAATCACCTGCCAAATTCTTAAAATGTTTTTATTTCATTTCTTTACCATGTCTAGGACCTCATGTGACCTCCCAAATCTTAAATTTGACACTGAGAAATTGTCAAAACTCATTTCCAAATTGGAATTTTTAATGTAGGTCCTTGTTAGCAACCACTCATTCAACGACCATTCAAACTTATGACAGCATTGACTGAGTGGTAGTTATGACTAGTCCTTATATTTAAGGCCATTGCAGCATCCTCATGGTCATGTGATCTGGGCATTTGGTGACCATCTCATGATAGGATGTTGCAGTGTGCTATGGTCACATGATCAAATTTTCCAAAGTTCCCTTTCAGCTTCCCACAATCAATCGGGGGGGGGGGGG